TTTTTTTTTGTTGCAGTCGTCACTGTTGTTTTAGCAGGCCCATGCTGGGTTCAAATCCACCAGCCTCTGTATGTAGCTAATGCCGTAACTACTGTGCTATGGGCACCAAGCCGATGTGCTATATTTTACATAGACTATGAGACCCTTGGCATAGTGCCTCAGACCTTGCTGCAAAAGGGATAGAATTTATAAAATAACCCATCTAGTTTTATTTCATGTCATTTTGTATTTCTTAAGAAAATCATGTTGGCATTAGTTGTAAATGTGTTTCAGGATTCAAGAACTTCAACAGGAAGTCCACCAGTTACAAGAAAAGTTAGCAGTGATGGAAAATGGAGTGATAGATTATAGCAAGCAGGTAGGATTTTAATTTACTTGCATAGGAGGGATTGAGATGGATATGCTGAAATTGCATATAGAATTGGGTTGCATTTGATATTACTGGTACTGAGCTTGACAGCTTTTATCCTTTTTTAAAATTTAGTTTGTTAATAAAGTTAATAACCAGTATGGCTTTAGAGCACTGAGTCCATTCCTGTCATTAGTCTTTGAGATGAAGTATTTTTTTGTTTTGTCATTTTGCTTTTTTGTAGGTGTATCATTTATCTCCCCAAATATAACTTTATAGTCATATTAGTATTTCCATCTCAGTAGCTATTTTACTGAAGTTTGCTTTATTTTTATAATTATATTTTTATGGTTCTTAAAGTCATATTTTGTCATTTTTGAGCATGAATCTCTGAAAGTTACTCTTCTGTGTTGCCATATTTTTTGTGTTTTCTCTAAGCACAAGCATCTCATAAAATAGCTTTCTGAATAAGTAGGAGAATTAATAGATGCAAAGTGATGTCATAACCATAGCAAGCTCCGTTCTTTCATACTCTGTATTGGAGTCTTGGCTGTACTGTGATTTGAGTAATGACAGGCTTTCTTTCTTAATATGCTTCCTGAAGTTTAAACCCGGTAGCACATTTGTCATTTTTTTGCACATAACTGCATTTTTTTTCCTTGGAGTGAAGTGATCTGTGCATATGAAATATAGATATAACTTACCTATTGGTATAACTGTTCGTAAAGTACTTTGAAGATTATTTGGATTAAAATGGAGCCAACAAAATAATAATAATAATGTCAACAGAAAGCTTACTGTATAAAGAGATGGTGAAAACATCAAATATGTATGAGTTGAATAGTATTGGTATTTTTCAGTTTATAATCATACTTCTGCCACGTTTTTTCCAAGTACTTTATGAACATAAACTGGCCAGTCTTTATCATTTTTAAGAGGGGGCTGAGGGTTTTGGAACAAATAGCTTGACCTTTCTGATTGAAACAAACAATTTACTGTGGTTATCAGTGTTAGTGGGCTTAGGTGAGCTTCTGTGCTGCCTGCCAGTTTTTGTTATTATTTTGCTTTTCTCAGCACATATTCCCCATTTTGCTGTTTACAAGATCATTCCTTAGCTTATGTCCCCTTCTCAGGATGTCACCCTTTCTCAGCTTCCTATCTCTGTCTTTGTCAGTATTTACACTCCGACCCACTTACAACATAATGGGTAGGGCGTGGAAGGCTAAGTTGCCTGTGTTCTTGGCCTCATTTCCTCTCTTCTCCTTAGGACTTAACTTCATTAGTAATTTTTTAGAGATGGGGTTTTGCTCTATTGCCCAGGCAAGACTGAAACTCCTGGGTTTAAGTGATACTCCAACTTCAGCGTCCTGAGTAGATGAGACTACAGTTGTGTGCCCAGGACTTCAAGCAATTATTCTTTCTTTCTTTGAAACTTTTTTTTTTTT